CTCTCTCTCTCTCTCTCTCTCTCTCTCTCTCTCTCTCTCTCTCTCGTGCGTGCACGCGCACATAAGAGGGAGGAATACAAGAGGTATTTTAAATTCTGTCTTATGTCGAATGTTAATTCATCTCATTGTTGCTAATTTATTTTCTAGTCAAGTTATCTTTTTTTTAACGACGGTTACGATAAAAATCACTTGTTCACGATACTGTAATAATTACAGAGATAAAAAATGGCCAAGTACAATCAGATATTGAGAATTGAAGAAAAATTCAATAAAGATGTCAAATATGTTGTAACAAGATATCAGAACTCTTAATAGAAAGATAACGCAAATAATCAAAATATATACAAGGATTGGAAAGAAAGAAAAAGGTAAAAGAGCGAACAATACTTACCATCTCCTGTACAATAAAATCCATTGAATCGATCAAAGTATGTATTTTGGAAACGCTGGTGATTTCCGTACAGAGTCCGCATCATACCCGGCCATGGTCGACGGAAGACAAGATAACCTTCTCCTTCGCCCTCGATCACGCGACCATCCTCATCGAGAAGCTCTGGCAGAACTCCAAAGAAAGGAAATGTCTACATATTTGTATCATACATTACATTAGAAATAAGTCATTCATTATGCAAAAAATATTAACGGAAAAATTATTTACCGCTGAACCTGGTTTCATAGGTGTGGCACCTGGCAGCGGTGTAATTACATGACCACCAGTTTCCGTTTGCCAGAAAGTATCTGCTATACTGCACTTGCCATGGCCAATGAGATTATAAAACCAGAGCCAAGCTTCGGTATTAATTGGTTCGCCGACTGAACCAAGAACCTGAAATGCATATGTGTATAATTTTCCATATGTTAAATACATCTCTTCTCCTTTTTTCGATTGACGAATAAATTTACCTTAAGTGTAGACAAACTGTGCTTCTTCACAAGATCATCGCCAAATTTCATTAGTGATCTGATGGCTGTTGGCGCCGTGTAAAATTGTGTAACCTTATATTTATCGATGATGGACCAATATCGATCATTCTCCGGATAAAAGGGTGTACCCTCAAACTGTCAATCGCGAATATAAATTAAAGAAGTAAAACACTGAGAATGACACATAAATGGTTTACATGAGACGGTAAATGTATATAGGAAACATCACGCATACGTACTATAACAGATGTTGCACCATTCGCCAACGGACCATAAACCACATAAGTGTGTCCTGTGATCCAGCCACAATCAGCGGTACACCAATAAATATCACCTGGATGATAGTCAAAAACATATTTGAAAGTTGTTGCCGCGTAAATTAAATATCCCGCAGTAGTATGGAGAACACCCTTTGGTTTTCCAGTAGAGCCACTGTATGGACACAAAAGAACGACACAGTCAGAAGGGCCTATTAGAAGAACTATGCTCTTTTTTTTCTTTTTGGTAAAAAAGAGGATACTATCTTTTACTATCGACAGCACTCTATTTTGAGCTCGATATAAACATGACTGTGATAGATATAACATGAAAGGAATTTTTACCTAGTATAAAGGATAAAAAGTGGATCCTCGGCAGCCATCCAAACTGGATAACAGCTTGCCTCCGCCTCCTCCATTTCATCATGCCACCAAATGTCTCGATCGTCATCCCAAGAAATATTAGTCACCTCCATGGCCGTACCATTACTAGTACCATTCATTCCGTTTACCTTACCCTGAGGATTATTGAGTCTTCTCAGATGCGCGACAACGATACAATTTTCGAGTTGATGGCCATGCTTCTTAATTTTATCTGCAGCTTCATCACAAATATTTTTCAATAGAAGTAATTTCTCGCCTCTCCACACACCATCAGTGGTGATGAGAATTTTGGCCTTGGAATCAAGGATACGTTCTGCTAACGAATCAGATGAATATCCTGCGAACTGCGATCATATATATGATCTTTTTTTTCTCCTATTGACTCTATAGTCCATCAGCTGTTGATAATATTTACTTACCACTACACTATGAACTGCCCCTATCCTCGTACAAGCTAGCATAGCAATCGGTAGTTCCAAAATCATCGGCATATAAAGCACTACTTTATCCCCCTTGGAAATACCCTTTGACTTGAGAACATTCGCAAATCTGCATGTCTCCTCGAGTAATTTTCTATATGTTAATCGCGAATAATCTTCCGGATCGTTTCCTTCCCTGTCAATACAATGAATATCTGATAATGACAAATCTCAACATGGATGAAAATTTATTAAATTCGAGGAAAATATAAACGGAAAAAATTGATGTCGATTCGCAGTTTTGCTTGCGAGATAAATTGCAAGTAACGCAAGAAAGACAGCAAGGATGTATCACGTGTTTAATTATGCGCATTTAGATCATTTAGAGCTCAATTTCATTTACAATCAATTTTTACACGTATCTTTACAGGATTTCAAACGATATCTCTATTACAAAGAAAGTCAAACTTTCTTGAAATCACGAGGATCGCGATGATTATACATCTTTTGAAAAGTTTTACATCAGTGGGCGTAACATGCTAAGACTTTAAGAATCATCCAATCGGCTACGTGAAATATGCTGTATCCCGACTATAGAAGATGAAAATTTGACAAGTTTGTAGCTAGCTACGACATTGCAAGTCGTTAATTAATCGATAAAATGAGATTTCCCAATAAGCAGAATGTCTAAAATCGACATATAAGACAACTTTAAGATATCTTTAAGAAACATCTTCAAAATATCTCATAAAGAACTCTGAAAGATATCTTGAAATTATCGTCGACTTTGAATATTTCTGGATTGGATATTCTGGATTGGAATGACATAATACTTTTGGTCTTGTGAGGAGCTATTTGAGATGGAATAAATCATGTCGAAGACATAAAAAAAATGTAAGAATCAATAATGCTGGATCCATATATCATTTAACTGACATCAGTTTCTTAAATATCGTTATATATATCTCATAGATGAGCGTAAGATTAACTAGATCTTGTTGTTAATCCGACAATTAAGAAGTTCTACGTAGATATTATCGTTCAACGATGTTGCGCGTTACATGAAACGCGTCTTCTGAAAATGGCCTTCATTTCTCTCGGCCTTTCCTCTCTAAACTCAGGGCTGGGCGATACTGATTCATGATTATACACGTCGTTAACATACTGTTTTATACTTATCATTCTGTATTTGAATTTGATTGTATTTTTATGTTTCCATTAATCCCCCGTCTGTCTCGCCTCGATGCTTATCTCATTGATCGTCGATGATCGATAATCGACGAACAACATAGATCCAAGATCGTTTTTCATTGAGAGAGTTTACTCGAGTTTATCCTTAATCTTAAATAGTTTATCCGAGTTTGCACATTTACGAGTGACGGAAAAAGAGAAATATATCTCGGATATCTGCGTGGTCGAGAGCGATTGAGAACGAGAGTGAGTGAGTGAGTGAGTGAGTGAGTGAGCGAGTGAGGGAGCGAGTGAGGGAGTGAGTGAGCGAGTGAGCGAGCGAGCGAGTGAGTGAGCAAGTGAGCGAGTGAGTGAGTGAGTGAGTGAGGGAGCGAGCGAGTGAGTGAGC